CCACAATTTTAATAACTGGACCACAGAGCTTCTTAAGCTGAAGATAAAACAGAACCTGGAGATCATGCTCAAGCAACAGAGAGGTCATCTATTATGATTTAGTCATCTGTCTTCCTTAAACCTAATACAAGGATTGCCAAAATGCCTTTCCTTTATCTGTCATTTGATTTTAGTTTAATCCTTCTCACTTGTATAGATAAAGAAAAGTGAAGTTCAGCAAGGTTAAGTCCTTCTAATGTGTGACAGAGCTGAGGTTAGAATCCAAGGAAAGTGGTCTAGCCATATGGAAACCAGCTATGATGACTGCTCAAGTGACCAATGAAAACTCCCGTGGGATCTGGCATCCCCACTTCTGGGAAGTAAGCCAAAGGAAATGGAATCAGTATTTGGAAGAACTCTCTGTACTGCAGTGTTCAGTGCAGCATTATTTGAAACGGCCAAGAAATAGAAGAATCTGTGTCAATTGCAGATGAATAAAGATGGATAACAAAATGTGTGTGTATATATATATTCATGTGTGTTCTATATGTATATGTGTGGTGGCATAGTATTCAGCCATGACAAAGAAGGAAATCCGCCCATTTGTAACAACATGAATGACGCTTGAGGGCATATGCTAAATGAGATAATTCAGATAGAGAAAGACAAGTATTATGCAATCTCACTTGTATGTGGAATCTGAAAGTGCCAAACTCTTGAAAGAATGTTTGTTGCTTGGGGTGGGGAGGGGACTGGGGAGGTATTGGTCAAAGGACATACACAAGATGACTAAGTTCTAGGGGCCTAATATATACCATGGTGACTATAATACCATATGGTATTGTAATGTATACTTGAGAGTTGTTAAAAGAGTAGATCTTAAATGTTTTGACCACATAAAGAAAGAAAAGGGTAATTATATGAGGTGGAAGATGTGTTAACTAACCTTATTATGGAAATTCTTTTATAGCATACTTTGTTGTTGTTATTTAGTTGCTCAGTCGTGTCTGACTCTTTTGAGACCCCCATGGACTATCTCGCCCATCAGGCTCCTCTGCCCATGGGATTTTCCAGGCAACTGGAGTGGGTTGCTGTTTTCTTCTCCAGGGGATCTTACTGACCCATGATCAAACCCGTGTCTCCTGCATTGGCAGGCTGATTCTTTACCACTGAGCCATCTGGGAAGTTTCTAGTATATACATGTATTAAATAATGACATTGTATGCCTTAAACTTACACAATATTATATATCAATTATATTTCAGTAGATCTGAAAAAAATACAGAGTGCATCCACCACTTTAAAAAAAAGAAAGCAAAGAAGGGATTTGACAATTTCGCAGGAGCGAACTGCTCTACCTGCCTATCTCTCTTAGTTTACTCACTTTTCTAGTCCCTCATTCCCTGATATCTGTTTACATCAGGTGTTGGCAAACTTTTTTCCAACAAAGGCCAGGTAGTGAATATTTTAGGCTTTATAGGTTATATGGTTTCTGTCACAACTGCTCTCTGTAGTTTTAACAAGAAAGTAGCAAAAAAATTTTTAAAAATTAAAGAAAGATAGAAACTGTAGATAATTTGTAAACAAATAAACATGGTTGTGTTCCGATAAAACTTTATATGTAAGAACAGTTGGTGAGTCAGATTTGACCCATGAATCATACTTGCTGTTCCTTGGTCTATTTCCAGTGGTAGATGTTGTGCTTTTTAGATCAATTTAAACTTGAATCATCATTGATACCTTGGACTAAGACTGTTAAACATTTCGAACAGGATTCTTCAAACTGGTAGTTCACTGGAAGACTTGAGAACTGTGTTAAGAATGTAGATTCCTTAGTCCTGCTACTAAAGATTCTAATACAGAATGTCTGGGAAAGAGCCTCAGCATCTGTACTTGTGGTCCCTGGCTCTATATTCATGCAAGAAGAGTTTGAAAACTGTATGTTTATGGCTTCCATAGATAACTTTGCAAAGACATAATATGAAATAAATCTCTGTGTAATTTGTTTCACCCACAATCCTAGCTCCATGGCAGAACCTCTGGTTTAATGAACAGACTATCCATCCATTCCATCTCCAAACCTCATGTCATTGCACCCTTTCCTGTTTTATTTAGAGGCAGACACGTTTAAGTGAAAATAATCACCATCAGAATACTAATGTGCTATAAGCTGATGTCAGGATATTTATTCAGCAGAATGCAATTACCAGTAAAATTTTATGTTCTAAATGGTGTGACTATAATCCAGTGTAGGCTTTCTAATCCCTGGTGATTTTTGTTTCATTTGATTTGTGATGAGTGGAAACCAGGCATGGTTGCTGGGGGCTGGCAAAGCAAGAATAAAGGGGAAATACCCCCATGGTCACTATAGGCAGTTTTCAACTACAATATGTCACTAAATCTCCATTACCACTGGGTGGCTCTACATCATTCTGTTGTTAATTGAATTTTTCCCCAAGTAGAATGAGGGCTTATTTTGCATCAACACAGTTCCATTGTCTGATGATTCTTGTTGGTAAAGTCAGCTAAATTTAAGATATTTCAGCATCCACATCCACAGGCATCGTTGCTGTGACTTTGGAGTGAGAGTGATCAAATGTACAGAAAGGACAGCATACGGAAGAGATGGTACTATGCTCACTACATGGGTGTGGACGAGATGGTTGGGAAGGTCTCTGCACTGGTACTATGCTCACTACACGGGTGTGGATGGGATGGTTGGGAAGGTCTCTGCACAGAAATGATAGTATCCCTTCCCAGTGCGTCAAATCTAAAGGTACATGAGGTTGTTGTTCAGTGGCTCAGTCGTGTCCAACTCCTTTGCAGCGCCATGGACTGTAGCCTGCCAGGCTTCTCAGTCCATGGGATTTTCTAGGCAAGAACACTGGAGTATGTTGCCATTTCCTTTCCCAGGGGGCCTTGAACCCAGGGATTGAACACTCGGACCCCTGTCTCCTGCATTCTCAGGAGGATTCTTTATGGCTGAGCTACCAGGGAAGCGCCAAAAAGGTACACGAGGTTGCCACATTTTATTACTAGTGAGGTAGACTTTGATCATGTGTTTAAGGTGGTGTCTGTGAGGTTTCTCCAATGTAGATTTAAATTTTAACTTTGTAATTAGTAAGTGTCTTGTAGGGAGATACTCCCAATGCTTTGTAAATTAGTGAGCTGGTTTTCAGGAAATATCCAAAATGAACACATTTAACTCTGTGCATATGAATGATGCATATCAGAGAAATTGATGGCTGAAAGTGGTCATACTGTGAAGGAATCTTAAAGTCTCTCATTTGAGAGAGAAGGGTTCACCTAAAAGCCAGCTGAGAATGTCATCTCAGATGTGGGATGACCAGCAGCCCAGCCCGTCTCCTCCCCTCAGATTGCTTTATTCCTTCCTGACCGCTGTTAGGATGTACCCTGTGTCCAGAGTGTGTTGTTCTCTGGTTACGTTTGTGTTAGAGTAGAGGAAGAATCCTTTCAAATCTTCCTCTTCTTCATGCTCGTTTAAAATAATTGTTGTTTGGTCTGTCAAGGTCTTTCTTTCTCCCCCTCTGCAGTGAGAGATCTGTTTTCACTAACTTGGCCCATGGATTTTTTTCTGATACAGAACTGAGAGACAGTAATGAAGAAATGAGAAGAAAGGGGAAGGATCCTTGTATTCTGGGCCAGTTCCTAGGCTCCCCTTTGCTAGAGAATCCAGGTGAAGAGAAGAAAAAAAAAGAATGTCAGTGACACTGTTGATAGACAAGACAAAGAGCTAAGAGCCGAGGAGAAAGCAGAAAGAGCCTGATGGACTTAGAACCTTGTAGACCATTTTGTGACTGCCCTGGGAGGGGGCTCGCGAGCGAGTGGCCAGAGTGCCCTGCATGTTGTGGTGAAGACATGCGCAGTCAGCAAGTGACATGCAAGCACACGAGAGCCAATGGAGCGGTGCAGCTGATGCCTCTGAGAGTGTGTGCCCCCAGAGTGTGTGTCCCCAGAGACAGGCCTCTGGGAAGAAGACCCTGTTCCAGTCACCCATGTGTTCAGTGGCTCCTTGAACCAGGGAACCAGGGACTGCTGACAAATCCAGTATTTCTGATAATCAGCCAGTCCCTGTAGTCAAACCCACACATCAAAAAAATTAAGCTGAAAAAGGGACTTCCCTGCTGGTCTAGTAGTTAAGACTTCGCCTTCCAGTGCAGGGGGTTGCAGGTTCAATCCCTGGTTGCGGAGCAAAGATTCCACATGCTTCCAGGCCAAAAAACCAGAATATAAAACAGAAGCAATATTGTAACAAGTTCAATAGACTTTAAAAATGATCCACATCAAAAAATTTTTAAAAACCTGATGCATCAGGGTCCCTCCCCATGGGGGAAGGAGAGAACCCAACCCCTACAGGACATTCAAGAAACTCATCTGCAAGGGGACCTGACCACACCACACACCGACTGGTTCAGAGGGCTTATTAGCCTATCCCAGATATCCCGGTTCTATTAACACTGGCTACAGGGATCAAAGTTCCCTTTGACCCTTCTGAAAATATTAGGTAATGTCAGTGCAGGGGGATAATACACTCTTTCTGCATGTTTGCCCTGCAGTGCAGCAATTGTTGCCCTTGGGAATGATTGTGCTAATTCTTAAGTCATTAACGCCAAATACTACATGACTACACACTACTCTAACCAGAGAGCATGCAAAACAGAGTGTGATACATCTTTCTGGAGCATAAAGTTTATTAAGACTATGAAGAAACAAGAAAGAAGTTGGCAAGAATTATCCCCTCCCCCAACCACATGGAAGACAGAAGTGTGGGGGATGGGGACATGCCCCAGGAGACAGTCTAGTCTCTGAAGTTTCACCCAGCAGGGGAGGAGGGGCAGCCAGGCGAGGGTGGCGCCTCTTCTGGTCGCCCAGGCCCCTCCAGAGCATTCTCTGTGCTGACCAGGGTTTTGGACAGGAGGCTTCCTGAAGGGGTGGAGGTGCTGGGTTTGAGCCCCATCATCCAGGTGGGAATATGCTGAGGTCCCAGGGGGCTTGGCAGGTCATCCACTGGGTGTTTCTGGGCTCACTTTATTTTTACCCCTCTTGCTGGGCAGCCCACAGCAAAGATGTTTAAATATACCTCTCAAGATTCTCCCAGACACCCTCTTCTTTTTCTGGGTGAGGCCAGGGGGAGTGACTGTGGACATATTCTCAGGCTGCCCAACAGGGGTGGCGCTTCCGGTATCAGGCACATCCGGGAGCAGTGGGTTCCTTCTGGGAGTTCACCGCTGATGTCATGGGTGCCACTGGTGTTGCACGTGTCACAGGTGATGTGGGTGCCGTGTGTGCCGTGGGTTCTGTGAGTGTTGAGGGCGACGTGGGTGCACGGGTGACCCTGGTGCCATGGGCGCCCCAGCCTCTTGGGCCTCACAGGTGCCAGAGGTGCCATCTGTGCCTGGGTGCCCCTGGTGTCACTGCAGCCACTGGTGCTGCAGGTATCGCGGGCGCCACGGGCGTCTTCTGTGCTGCAGGCCCCAGTGCTGTCCTGGGTGCTTAGGGCGTCATGGCTGAGGCTGGTATCACAGGTGAAGCTGGTGTCACAGGTGCTGCAGGCTTCACAGGTGAAGCTGGCACCACTGGTATCGCAGCTGTCGCAGGCGCTGCTGGTGTCGCAGGCGTCTCTGGTGTCCCGCGTAGCACTGGTATCACAAGTGTGGCTGCTGTCACGCCTGTCGCAGGTGTCACAGGTGAGGCTGGCCCCGCACGTGTCGTGGCGGTCACCGGCGTGATCGGTGGCTCGGGCGATGCTGTCTTCATGGGTGTCGTGAGTGGAGGGGGCTGAGCTGGGGGTGACGGTCCTCACCTCCGGGCACGGTGGGGGAGTGACAGGTTCCCTGGTCGTCTCCCTTGACTCCTGGCTCTCCTGCTGCTGAATGGTATCCCAAAGCCAGTCGGGAATAAGCATGGACACTTCAGGGCTGGCGGGAGGCGTATGTTCTTGGCTGCTGAGGTCGGAGGAAATGGCTGGCCTCACAATGATGGTGCGGGCCCCCACCTTGGGTTCATCCCTGTCACTGCCACTGCTTGTAAGCCAGCCCTGGATCTGGTCCCTCCACCAGCCCAGTACCATCTCCGCTGTCACCCCAGGGTGCTCTTCACAGGCTGGTGGGAGTGGCTCCTCCCGGCCCATGTTCACCCATGGATGCTGCCAAACATCATCTAAAGTCCCTCTGTTGGTAGGGTTGAGCGTTAACATCCTCTGTGTTAAATGTGTTACTTCATTTCATAGATATTTGGGCACATAGTATTGCCCTCTAGGGATGCACCGCAGCTCCCAGAAATCTTGTCCCCTGAAGGGGAGGGATCGAGTTACTATGGTGTACGCCGAGGTGTACTATGGATGACGCCGAGGCTCCACACATCCACCTCTGGCCCTGCGTAAGGCAGCCTCAGGAAGCTGGGGCCGTGAACAGGGGGCTGCCGCAGAAAGTGTCTAGCTTCTTTCTTGGGTGCCAGTGTTTGCTAAAGCCAAAGTCTGAAATCTTGATATTGTTGGCATCGGGGAGAAGGCTGCTCAGCTTCACGTCCCGGTGCACCACGCCCCGCTGGTGGCAGTGCTGGAGAGCCGAGACCAGCTGGCGGAACGCGCCTCGGGCCTCCCCCTCCGTCAGGCAGCCTTGGGCCTCCAAGTAGGTGAATAGGTTTCCCCCGCTGAGGTACTCCATTACTATAAACAGAGTCTCCTCTGTATCGATAACTTCCAGTAGTTTCACGATATTCGGGTGTTTCAAGATTTTCATGCTATTAACGTCTCAAAACAGTTCCTGGAGGCTGGAGAACCTCTGATTTGTCTTTTTTATTACCTAATAGCTAGCAGCTAGCACTCCCCTGGTGAGAACATGCCAGGCCAACTTCACTTTGGCAAAGTGGCCTTCACCAATTGTGTAAAGGATCTCAATATTCTCAATATGAGCCATCTTTTTAGCAGAGATGGCCATGAGGTGCCACATCCCTAACTCTCACTAAGAAAGAACCCTGCCAGCCCTCACTAAGAAAGAATGCTAACTATACTAACAGTGATTACTATGCTAACACTATTATAGAACTGTCAGGTTGGTTTATTTCTTTTCCTCGGTTCTTGTCGCAACAAAGATTTGGAGTGATGGACCAAAGTTGTGGAACAGCGGAAAAGTTACAGCTCAGTTCAACTCAAGCACTCCCAGAGGAGTCCTCCTCACTCTGTCAGTCCCTCTTGGCTTCCCCTTCTTACATTTCCTCTTGATTACGCCCAGTCAAACAGGGCTTGTGCCCACCACCAATCAGTGCAAATGGGCATACGCTCAAGGCTGGTTGACAGTTATAAGTTGTCTAACAGCCGGCTGTGTTGTTTAGGTCCTCCCATAATTCTGTTAGATGTAGGGTATTCATGAGTCCTTGATGGTCTCCTAACTGCCTGAGGTTACTAGAAGCCCCTGTGGTCCTTTTGTATCCTCGGTGTGCCTAGGGCCCTGTGCAGGAGTTGAAAAGTCTCTGTGGCTCTTTTGTAGTATATCTGTGAGCTCTTCTGGGTGTGTCTGGGATGGAGTTTAGAGATGAGTATACATCCCATACATCCCTTTTCAGCCAGGCCTCCCTTCAAGTTGCTCACGTTTAACTTCCTACCTGACAGTCCCCCCTCATGTTGTATGGACCCCAATTCGTTGGAGAAATGGGTGTCATTCATTCTGGCTACTTCCTGCTGAGTTGGGGCAGTGAGGGGCCTTGGGTGTCCAGCACTTGGTAGCTGTCAATGAGAGAGGCCAGTAAGGGCTGCTGCTGTCTGTCCAAGGGGGAGTGGCGTGAGGAAGTCATCAGAGGCGTCAGGGGTTGATATCTATGCTGTATCAGAAGCTGACCTGAGAAGTAAACTAAGTAGGTTGAGGAAAGAGGGAGCCGACAGAGTTATAGGCCAGATGCACGGTAGGGTCGCATCCTTGACTGGCTGGAACCAGGTTGCTGTGGTGACCTTGTCCAGGATTTGATTAGTTTCGAATAAGTTTTTGGTGCTCAGTCCTGACCTATTGATATAAGTCAGCTTTTTAAGAATTGGGTTAGGACATACCACAGCTAGTCTTATTGAGCGTGTTCATGATTTCTGTGGTGGCTGGACTTCAGGAGTGTATATAAGAGTGACAGCACCAGAGATACATGAGCCAGACTGGGGTGTCCTGAGTATGGTCTTATGGGAGCCGATAACAGACATGAAAAGGATAGGATCTCCCCGACTAACACAAACCAAGAGAGAGGCAACGAGGTAGACCAGACTGAATGCAGGCGCCATCCCAAGAAAGCTTATCCCCAGGAGCTTAACCTTTTGGATATTCATCAGAATGACCCTCACCTGTAGTCCTGAATAGATATCGGAGGTCTTCCAGAGGCTCTCAGGTACATCGGGAATCTTCTCCTGTTTTATTCCACGACTTTACTTGAGAGTGGTGAATCCAGGCGTCATGCCTTGGCAGCTTGGCTGCTGTGGAGGTCAAGAGTATTATGGGGTAAGGCCCTTTCATGTGGGCTGGAGTTGAGCTTTTGGGGATGCATCTTTCTAAACCTTAATGAGTAGGTAGTGGTATATAGTGGAGGTCCCTCAGATTCTTTTGGGCCCTGGTTGAGACCCCACAGTCACATTTCTTATTGGAATTGCCGAGTGACCATAGTGTAATTTAGAAGGGTTTGAGTCTCTGGATCTAAAAAGAGGTCATCAACATAAACAAATGGTCTCTGATATAACCTCTCATAAGTGCTAAAGCCAGCCTGTTCTTTTGGAGCAATGCGAGTATGAAAGGGGTATTGGTAATGCCTCCTTCCATAAAGGGGAGGTCTCCTGAATTATCTGAGTGCCAACTTTAAGAATTGGTCGGCTACATTTTAGCTGTGCAGTTTCAAGAAATGTACTTGACCTCTCTGTATTTTTTTTTTTCAGTAGTAAAATCAAAATGCTGATTGTATTTACTTCACCAGCTTGTTGTGAGGATTAAAGTGTTTTGAACAGAAACTGGCTTCTAGAAATTAGTTACTAAGTTTTTGAAATAAATTCTGACGAGTCTGGGAATCACTGGGTCACTTGGATAAGGTCTTAGCTTATCTGAGTCATGAGCATAGTTTTGCCAAGCACTGTGTTTAGTGGACCAGGTTATGCTCTTTTCAGGTCCTTCACACATTTCTCACAGAATCTCAGTCCTAGAACTAGCTTGTGTTATCTATAAAATGGGGGAAATTAAGCATTATCCAAAGTCAAGCATTTGAATGGGAAGGTTTCTGGAAGATCCATCCCATCTCCAAAACCTCTGATATTTTGAATCATTCTGGATTCTTACAAACTCATTGTAGCTTCTTTGGTTCTATAAAATCTGAAAAATTGATTTCATCCCCATTGTATTACTCACATATTAGGTGAGGATTTAAGAAAGATGCTTCATCTTTGAAGAAGGAGTACTTTGTAAGTCAGGATAAAAATATACCTTGATTGATTGGTTAAACACTCGTGGACTCACTTTTCTTTCTCCCTTAAGATTTTTCTCTCCTTTTACCTGTTCTCCTGTATGTCCCTTCCTCCGCTATTTTCTCAAGTCCCAGTCAATATCCTTCAGAATACAGGCTTCTGATAATTCTTCTCTGTCAGAAGCAGGGCATTTAATCTCAGTGCATACTTGCCTGCAGTGTCTAGGGTGGTAGTTATCAGCGAAGCAGAATGGGGGGTCTTGTAGAGCTGTCCATCACGCTTCTCCTCAACTAGTATAGACAGCCTGTGTCTGTTGATTGTTGACTTGAGACTTAAACATGGCAGGATATCTGCAACTTCCTGAGTTTCCTTGTGCATCTTATGGTTACTTAATCCTCTTTGAACCCAGGTGAAGGAACTCAAAATTCCCATGGTGGGTGTGAGCAATCTATTCACAAATTGATTCTGAAAGAGAAATTTCTTAGGGGGCAGGAAACTAGCATCCTGTGCAACCATAATTCCCATTCTCCTGTATTAATGAGTGAGACTTCCCTGAGCACTGTGTGCCAGGCTCCGTGCCAGGTGCTAGGGATGCGGGTGAGCAAAACAAGTGCACGTCTCTGTGATCACAACACTAGTTTTCTGGAGGAGACTTGTTGGGTAAGAAATTACACAGTTCAGTTCAGTTCAGTCGCTCGATCATGTCCGACTCTTTGTGACCCTTGGACTGCAGCA